GATTCCGGAGAGTCTCCACGGTTTCCAGGAGGAGTGGTTGTGGATCGGTGGAGAGTGGCAATCAGTGGACTTCTTTCATGAGCGCCGAATTGATGGGATGACAATTCCCATGTTAATTCATTCCGGAGCCAGTGAGTTTGTTTTATCTGTTTTTCAATTCGGATATACTTTTCTGATTTTGGTGTTGTTCTGTGCACTAACAGGTCGGAACTTTTACTCTGTGTAGAAAAAGAGACTAAGCAAAAAGAACCGAAGTTGAGTCCGGAATTCGGTGGGAAGTTGATAACTTTGGCCGGTTTGGATAAAGCAGACAGGGATTATCGCAAGCTTTTAATAGACTCGAAACTTGAAGCGGCTGGTTTGTCTTTGGGAGTTACCACATCGAAGTTTGACCCCGGTAAGAGAATTTTAGTAAGGATGTTGTCGAATTTTTCATATGCGATGAATAGCGGTTTTGTATCTTAATTTGTCCTTTGTCGATATGCAGTGTATTATCCTCTCCTCGGTTTACTGGGCTACAACTCTGTCAAGGAAGCCAAGGAGTTTAGGCGTAAATTTCCGAACAGAGACCTTCAATCCAAAGTTGGTAAGAGCCGGGATTTAAGACTGAACGACGCCATGAGGAGGGATCTTGTTCGTGCGTTGGTGAAGAAGACAGCCGGTCAAAAGAACACTGGGAAGAAGTCGACCGAGGTGGGGTCGAGTGCCACTTCGGCTGCCATGCCTGAAAGCCCGAAGTCTGTGCCAGACGTGACGACTACCGAAGTGTTGTCGGTAGTGGAGGCTGCAGCGATTAACCAAGCAGATCCGGAACCAATCATAGCAGGGACCGAAATGATTACTGCCGAGGTTGCTCACACCGAGGTGCCACCAGCTTCTCCGAAGTCGCTTGAGTTGGAGCAACCAGAGAAGAGGAAGAAGAGAAAATTGGTGAAGATGGCGGACGTCGGAGCTTCGTCCGGAGTAGAGAAGAGGTCTAAGAAAAAGCACGACTCCGGTCGTAAAGCGACTGAGAAAGGTACGGATGAGTCTCCTTTATTTGAGAAGTCTTTTTTGTCGATAGACGAAGAGCGGGCTGCCAGAGTTAAGGTGCCTGAGGGTGTTGTGGAGGATTGGTTCACTACTTTTCTGTCCGTGAAGTCACCACATATGTCATCGAGAATCGAAATGCCAGAGAATGCAAGAGATGCTGCTCGGGTTCCGTTGATGGTTTGGGACCCCAAATCCAAAGTGGGGGTCTCCTCTTTATCCAGTGTTGACAAGCTGAGCTACGCCAAGGCATGCGTTGGCAGGGCCTTGGTTAGTTTAGTGGCAGCCGAGGATGATCATCGCCGGGTCGCGTCTCAATTAGAAGGGAAAAAGGACGTTTTAGCCGCGCGCGATATGGTGATCGTTCAGTTGAAGGAAGAATCGGCTAAAATGGAGGCCGACTTGAAGGGCCAAATTTCTGAGAAGGTTGACGAGTTGGAGAAGGCAAAAGCTGAGACTGTGACGTTGTCAGATGAGAAGAAGGCCTATGAGGCCGAAGTGGCAGATCTCAAGGCACGCCTGGCCGTGGTGGAGCAGCACTTCAAAACTTCCGAGGCCAAACTGATGGAAACCGAGAAGGCCTTGTTGGAGAAAAAGGCTAATCATGATGCAGCTCGCAAAGAATGTGCTGAGACCCGCGAACTGGTAGGTCGGCAAAAAGCTTCTCATCAGGCCGAGATGGCCAAACTTGAAAGGGAGAAGTCGTCCTACGGGGAGTTCATGTATGAGAACGGCTTTCAGGCTGGGAAGGATTCGGTTGTCGCTGAACCGAAGTCTGGGGATGATGCCGAGATGGAAGTTGCCGAGGTCGGTGAAGATGATGAAGCCGGCGGTCCTGACCTCGAGATTGAAATGAACACTTGTTTGAATTTGAGGTGGATTATTGAACGCTACGACGCCGGCTACTACGATATCGACGATCTTCGCTTGTTTCTTTTCCACAAATTGGAGAAGTATGGATTTGATTCAGAGATAAAAGGGATGCATGTGGCGGCTGATGAAGATGAGCGAGAATTTTGCGTATGGATGCTTCGCCGTTCAGAAGAGATGAATGCAAATCCAGATTTGCCGCCACTCTCCGAGGATAGGGCTGCTCTTCTCCGACGTGCTTACGTCAACATGATCTTGGAGGAGGAGAAGGAAAAAAGGAAGGAGCTGGCCGACGTGTACCTCTCAACATTGGCCGAGGTGGAGGTTGAGCAGCATTTTGATGACATGACTCCTGAACAAATCCGGAGCCGGGTTAAAGCGTACATCGAGGAGAAGGCAAGGTCGGCCGAGAAGGATGTTGAAGTGGTGAAGGTTGTCACGCCGGCTGAAGATGGCGTTGAGAAGCTGACCGACCCTCGTGATGATCTCATTCCGGTGCCAGATGGGGCTATTGAGGCTGTTGCCAAGATGAAGGAATCGCAGGTCTTGGAGCGACTATCTTCCGGGATCGAAGTCGGAGAAAGCAGCGGCACCGGAGAGAATGTGGAGAAACCGACCGAGGAGGTCTGAAGTTGATTTTTTGTTTTCTTTGTTTTGATGGTTTTGGGTTATTTGCTATGTAATCGGGGTGTCGGCATGCCGGCATCCTTAGTAGGAAATATTTCGAAGTTTATGATATGTAATCGGGTAACCGAATCCCTTAGTAGGAAGTATGTAAGGGATTTCCCAAACTTTTCATACTATATTTATATATAAAGTGTTCGCATATGCTTGATTTTGATTTTATGTTTGCTGTGCAAATTTCAGCAACTTTTCGACCAAGTGTTTTGAATTCGGTTTTCTTTAGAAAATGAACTGCTTCAACTCGGAATTACTTAAATCATGATCCGAGTTGTAAGATTTTGTAAATAAAAATGACTTCCGAATTCCACTTTGATCGTTTATAAGAATCTCAGCCACAAGCGTGAGTCGATATGCGAGTTTTCAAATAACTTCGCAGAACTCAACACATTTTTAGGGCTGTACGAGAAATAAAATGAGTCACCGGACTTCGTCAGAGTCCGATTATGACATGGCCCCAACCGACTTATATGTTGTGTATTCGGTAATATTCGGGACCCGTCAAATCACGTATGTTGAAATGACGTTTGACGAGCATCACCCCCATCCGAAAAGAAATGGTACTCGGACATATTATGGGGTATCAGCTAGACCGAGTGTCGCAATGCTTACATCGGTGTGATATATTTAACCGAGTTTCAAAAGGTTTACATCGATATCGAGCTTGTTGCTCGACTTTTTCACAATACGCAAACTGACAGGCTATTCAGTACATCAAAAGAGGTGATTTCATGCATTCACTGAGGCAAAAGAAGGCCCGTACAAGAGGGGGGTCGACTATGCGACTTCGGATCCTTCACTGATAGAATTTTTTCAAGAACACTGCATTCCAGGGATATTGATGTGGTGTTCCATCGGGATGAGCAATTCGATAGGCCCCATGAGGTAGGATTTTGATGATTTGAAAGGGTCCTTCCCACCGCGGTCTAAGTGGTCCGGGGTCAGGCCCCATTATACGCTTGAGGACCAAATCTCCAACTCGGAACGCACGGGGTTTGAGTTTAGAATTGATATATCTTTCATTTCTTTGCTTGTACGCAGCATTCTTGAGTTCGGACCGAGTACGGTGTTCTTCAAGCAGGTCCAGATTTGCTTTCATGTTTTCCGAGTTGGCTTCCTCGGTGAATGCTGAACTCGGTAGGTCGGTTCTCCGAGCTCCACCGGAACTATGGCTTCGGAACTGTAAGTTAGAGAAAATGGGGTCTCGCCGGTAGACGTCCGAGTGGTAGTTCGGTAAGCCCACAGGACATGTGGCAACTCCTCGGGCCAAGCTCCTTTGGCGGCGTCAAGTCGGACTTTGAGACCATTCTTTATGAGTTTGTTTACGGCTTCAACCTGACCGTTGGACTGCGGGTGGTAAGGTGATGAGAAGAAGTGCTTGATGTTGTATTCTTCACACAGGGATTCAAGTCGTTTGCCTTCAAATTGTTTGCCGTTGTCGGTTATGATGGAATTCGGCACCCCGAAGCGACAGATAATTGACTTCCACACAAAATCTACGACCTTCTGTTCGGTTATCGTGGTTAACGGTTCGGCCTCGGCCCATTTAGTGAAATAGTCAACTGCCACGATAGCAAACCGGACACCTCCCTTTCCGGTTGGTAGAGGACCAATAAGATCAATCCCCCATTTGGCAAAAGGCCACGGACTGTAAACTGATTTTAGTTCTTCGGGAGATTGATGAATATTCGGGGCAAACATTTGGCATTTCGGGCATTTGCGCACCCATGTGGCGGCGTCGGTCTTCAAAGTCGGCCAGTAGTAACCTTGTCGCAGGATTTTATAAGATAATGCTTGTGCACCGGGGTGACTTCCGCAAATCCCTTCGTGGACTTCTTCAAGAATGTACCGTGAATCAGTTTCACCTACGCATTTCAAAAGTGGAACGGAGTATCCCCTTTTGAACAGAGTTCCGTTGTCTAATGAGTACCGAGCTGCTCGAATCCTAAGTGCTCGAGCTTCTTTTGGGTTTGGAGGTAAGGCCCCAGTTTCTAGGTAGTGGATGATAGGATCCATCCAAGTTGGTGATTTTTGCGATGCTACTGGGTTGATGGCCGTGACCTCGGAAAGGGCAGTTGATGGTTGTTCTTGTTGGCCGATTTGGATGTACTCCGCGCTCTCCATCCCGGTACTGGACGCAAGTCGAGATAAGGCATCTGCTTGAACATTGAGAGTTCGGGGGATATGCTCGAGGTCGGCGGAGAATTTTGATAATTTCCGTTTGGCCAAAGAGAGATAGGGTGTCAACCGAGGTTCTTTGACTTCATATGAACCATTGACTTGATTAACAAGGAGCTGTGAGTCTGAGAAGACTTTGAGGTGGGTCACGTTCATGGACTCTGCCAAATTCAATCCGGATAGCAGCGCTTCGTATTCGACTTCATTGTTTGTTGCCGGAAAGAGGAATTTCACCGAATGACAGAATAACCGATTCTCTGGATCAGCCAAGACTATCCCTGCACCTGCTCGGTTGGCTGTTGAAGAGCCATCAATATAGAGGACCCATGGTTGATTATTATAGTGAACTGCGATGGCCGGGGTAAACTCGGCGATAAAGTCGGATAAGGCTTGAGCCTTGATTGTGGTTCTTGGTTGATAGTGGATATCGAATTGTCCGAGCTCAATGGCCCATTTAACCATGCGTCCCGAGGTGTCAGGTCGGTGCAAGATTTGCCGAAGTGGATACGAAGTGCGAACAGTTATAGAATGCTCTTGGAAGTATGGTCGTAATTTCCGGGCTGCCATCACAAGTGCAAACGCTAACTTTTCCATCGGAGGATAACGTAGTTCGGCATCGTGCAAGGCCTTGCTTACATAATAGATAGGTGATTGCAGCAATCCTTCTTCACGTATCAAAACAGCGCTAATGGCAGATTCACTAACTCCGAGGTATAAGAACAACATCTCCTCGGGTTTTGGCTTTTGCAAAGTCGGGGGAGAGATCAGCGTCTCCTTGATATTGTCAAGAGCTTTTTGGCATTCGTCAGTCCATTCAAAACGTTTCCCTTTCTTAATTGCTTCGAAAAAAGGCTTACAACGATCTGTAGACTTGGAGATGAACCGGTTGAGTGCAGCAAGTCGGCCAGTTAGGGCCTGGACACCCTTGACCGAGGCTGGGGGAGTTAGATCCTGAATGGCCTTTATTTTGGCCGGATTGGCTTCAATCCCGCGCTGGCTAACCATATAGCCTAAAAACTTTCCGGATTCGACTCCAAAAGTGCATTTCTTCGGATTCAGCACCATGGAATAAGATCGGAGGATGGCGAACATGTCTCGAAGATGCATTATATGATCAAAGGCGTGCACCGACTTGACGAGCATGTCATCAACATAAACTTCCATAGTGTGTCCGATCAATGTTGCGAACATTTTGTTGACAAGACGTTGATATGTGGCTCCGGCGTTCTTTAATCTGAATGGCATCATAGTGTAACAATACAAACCTCTGGCCGAATAGAATGAAGTATGTTCAGAGTCCTCGGGGTCCATAGGAATCTGGTTGTAGCCGGAGTAAGCGTCCATAAAACTCATCAACTCATGTCCCGACGTGGTGTCAACCATATAATCTATATGGGGAAGTGGATAACTGTCTTTTGGGCACGCCTTGTTAAGGTCGGAAAAATCAATACACAATCTCCACAACCCGTTACTCTTTTTGACGAGAACTGGATTTGAGACCCACGTCGGGTATTTGGCTTCCTTGATGAATTTATTGTCAACGAGTTTTTTGACTTCTTCTTCCAATGCCTTCTGACGATCCGGCCCCAGTTTCCTTCTCTTTTGTACAACAGGCCGGACTGTTCGATCGAGGTTTAGTTTGTGGCTAGCGACACCGGGGTCGATGCCCTTCATATCCTCGTGCTTCTAGGCAAAAACATCAGAATTCTGCTTGAGAAACGCAATTAGTTCTGACCGAAGTGGTTCCTGAAGATGACTTCCGATGCGCAATGACTTGTGGAAGACTGGTTCATCGATATAGACCAACTCCACGTCTTCTCCAGGTTCGGCTCGATCAGGTCGACTTTTTTCTTTAAATAATGCTCTGGGGTCCAACTCGTCTTCTTCAAGGAGTGGTTCTTTTCCAGGTCGGCGACCTCGGTCTTCGGTTAAAGGATCCGAGGTGGAAGGCTCGCCGATGTGGTCACTTGGTTCTTCGGTCATCGCATCGTCCGGAGAGTGGTGCTGTGGGGAGGCTTCATTGTTACTCGTTGAAGCTGAGTGAACTCCATGAGATGGGATGAATGTAACAAGTTGTCGAGCTTCTCTCTGATCTCCGAAGTGGGTCCCTTCTCCCCGGGTTGTCGGGAACTTTAATGCGTAGTGAAAGATAGAGACTGCAGCCCGAAGTTTGTACAATGCCGTTCTGCCGATGATGGCGTTGTACTCGTTATTAATATCCATAACCTTAAAAGTCTCTATGACGAGTTTGGTGACATTCTCCGAGGTGCCAAATCGGACAGGCAAAGTGATTTCTCCGATGGGTTTTGAAATACTGCCATTAAACCCCTGGATTTGATCGTTGCAAGGTCGGATTTCGGCAGGGTCAAGACCCATCTTGTCAAAAGCTTTCAGCATCAAAATACTTGAATAGGCCCCAGTGTCCACCATGACACGATGAACCGGAATACCACATATTGGAACAGTAATGACCAGGGCGTCGGAATGAGGATGAGCGAAATGATTCGCGTCCTCCATATTGAAGGTTATAGGGCAATTCCGATTGTTGAGAACATCTCTCAAATCGGTGGTATAAACCTGTTTACCGGAGTTGTGAGCTTGTCGGGCATACGCCTTGGCCTGTCGGCGGGACAATGTACTCCAGGAGTTGTTGGTATTGACCCGATGGACAGTGATTTGCATTGGTTCAGGAGACCTATCTCGCTTACGTCCTCGGGAAATTTCAGCAGGGTTAGAATCGGAAGTCCCCGAGGTAAACATGAATACTTCCTTGTCTCCCTGTCGGATGCGTTTTGTCATAGCACCTCGGTCTTCCTCGTCGTCTTCATCATCGAAGGATTCGATCTGACGTCCAGGACCTCGCCTCTGGGAATCAGTATTACGATAAAATTTCCTAAGCTGCGGATGGCCGATTAAACGCAACAATGCGGCCAACAAACTCAAACACTCGTCCGTGTTGTGCCCGGGCGATTTGTGATAATCGCAATATCGGGACTTGTCCAGTTTTTCTTCAGGCATCCGAAGTGGCTTGGGATCTGGCAAAATGCCCTTCCCTTTTATTTCTTCATAAATAGTAGCTGCTCCCGCCGAGTACAAAGTTTGATAACCGGACTTCACGTCGGTCGCGTACTGTTTTCGGGCCGCTCGGACTTCAGGATCGTTGGGGTCTCCCCGGGGAGGCCCCCTGAATTGAGTCTTATTTTGCTTGTCGAAAAATTTATTCTTTCTTTTTTCGTCGGTTCCCGCCTTAGAGGACTTCGAGTTAAAGTTGAAATCGGGAACCGACATGGCTTCTTCCGCTATGATATGCTGCTGGGCTCGAGCGAGAAATTCTTGAAAAGTATTCGGTTTATTTTGGCATAGCGTCCAGCGGAAAATCGAATTTGGCTTCAATCCAGCAATAGCCATAACAAGCAAAGTTTCGGGATGACAAGGTTCCATATTCTGAACTCGGTCATTGAAACGGGCAATATAATCTTTAACGCTTTCATCATCTTTTTGAGTGATATTGGCAAGAGACTCTTTCGGGATAAGGCATACTTGGGCCCCGATAAAATGAGATCGGAAAGCCGACCTTAATTGTTGCCACTTCCAGATTGAATGAGGAGGAAGAGAATGGTACCATTTTTGGGCCCGAGGCCCAGTGTTAGTGAGAACATACGACACCGAAGTGCGTCTGAGGCCCCATGCAGATCCATCCATGAAGTGTAATGACCGAGGTGTGAGTCCGGGTCAGATGTTCCATCATATAGCCCGATCTGGGGAACCTTAACTTTTCCAGAAACTGGTTCCGAAGTGAGTTCCGGAGTAAGGGGAGAATCGGCTTCCAAATACACCTGGGCCGAGGTGGAGGCTCGCCGAGGTGGATCCTCAGGTACCCGTTGCCGACTTTCCAATTCGGCTATTCGTCGTCGCAGTGTTTCGAGTTTGGACGACTCTTGACGAGCCCGATTCCGTTCAATATGCTGTCGGAGGTCGGTCTGCGCTGGATTGGAAGGGTTTCGGCGTTGTGTATGAGGCGGTGACCGTCGTAAATGACCCGACTGGCTTTTGTTTGTTTCTTCTTGAGGAAGTATAGGAGGATTACGTCCGGCGTCAGTGCGTCGTGTATTTTGTTCCGGAGGCGGTTGTGACATTCGATCACGAGGTTGAGATGTAGCATGAGATGTTGTCCTTCCGCTGTCTTGTCGCGCCGGTGGATTCTGTCGGATCGCGGGGGTTGTGGGAATGATGGAGTGTCCCGGAGCAGTTGTCGATGTTCCCGGCATCGTTTGGGCCATTAAAGCGGCAAAACCACGCGCAAATTCCGGATTTTGAAACAGAACAGCATAATCCGGTACATGTGGAGCCACGGCTTGTCGCCTGGCGGATTGCGCGGCGCTACGACTGTGGCCGTCTCGCGACGTGTGACCACGAGGATCTGAGTGAGACATGGTGGATATGGCTGGTATGAACCGTTTCGTGAAAAAGCGGAGATTAACCTCAAATCACTTATGAGGCCCTTCCTCTAGCGCCAAACTGTTGTTATGTGATTTTTAACAACGATCTAATATGTTATTAAGATGAGAGTTATGAATGATTTGGACGTAAAGCATGTGAGATTAACTCAATAATGGCCCCAGTCCGAGGTGAACCGAGGTGAAGAGCCGTGATGGGCTTTTGCGTGTTGCTTAATAAAGTTTTCTGAGTTCGGACTGTGATGGGCTTTTGCGTGTTGCTTAATAAAGTTTTCTGAGTTCGGAGAGAGATCCCCGTACAAATGTCATGGGTCCGCTATTTATAGTAATTTCGGGTTGATACATTGGGATCTGTGCACTACTTTTTGAATAAAGTGACTTTTTGTGGGCGGTTTTGAGGCAGGGGGTCCCACATAAATGATGACGGATCTTGTGGAGTAGGATGGTTGTACGTAGGCACCTTGTCACCTGCTTAAGGAGGTGACGATCTCGGTTTATGTTGACCTCGGTAGATGCTGACCACTTCGGTCTTCGGTAGTTCGGTCCGGTTCGTCGCCTGAGCCGGAGTGGAGTAAATCACGTCGGTTCAATGATCATCTTCTTCTTAATGAGACGTTTGGAATCTCTTAACGTAGGTTTACCGATCCGGATGATAACACCTCATTTCAGATTTATAAAATACTTAGCTAAATTATGTTAAATAAATATATTTCAAAACTCAATATTATTTACTTGTTATTAGTTTATTAAAAGCAATATGTAAAATTAAAATGATTATTTATTTAGATATATGTATCAATGATAGGATATAGTGTACAATATTAACATTTTTTTTTTCCAAAACGATAGATAATATTATAAATCAAAATGCACAAATGTGCGAATACACAGCAGCCAACGACTAAATACACAGCAGCCAACAGCTGAAAAAGTGGGAGGACAGAGACCAACGGCACAAACCAAAAACACAAACAAAGAGAACAGCCAAAATAAAATCTACTCAGAAGACACACAAAGCCCTTCCCCAGCGAAATAACCGAACCCAGCATAAGGCACTAGCGAATCAGGACCAAACACCCTATAGCATGACGCGAAAGCCGGAACACCACTCCCGCCACTGCCCAAAGCCTAGCAAAGGATGAGTTCGAAGCCTCGAACCACTCCAACGATGTAGCCGACCCAAAGCCCGAGAGGATCAAACGGCCCCAACCCACAGACCCGCTTCCCGTTACCCGACCAGAAAACACTAGTCAGAATCCGGGCTTGTCGGGCATCCAACTCCACGCAACCAACGAAGAGGACACAGGGGCACGAACCAACCCACCTCAACCCTGACCGTCGCGACTCAAACGAGCCAAGCCACCTGGGTCGCACCCAATCCCAACCACAACCACTCACCTCCTTGAAGCCACCCACCACGAACCCGGCGCGCAGCGGACAAGTCCCCACCTGAGACCGAGCTGAGAAGAAACCATCCGACGAGCAGGGAAGCCAGCCACCATAGCCACTACTCAGAGAACCAGGAAACGGGACCACCGCCGGCAATAAGGAAGCGGCGAGATCTGCCTACGGGCTTGGGAGAAACACCATCAGCGCAGGAGCACTGGCAAGCGATAAATTGAGACGGGATGCCGAAGCTATGGGTCATCCGCCGGTGAAAGGGCCGGCTAATCGCTGGGAAGGTGCGCCCTATGAACGGAATTAAGGGAGCAACTGCAAGGGTTTCTTAAGGAGAAGAAAGGGGCTCTATCTTTATATTCATTCCACTCAAAATCGGTTCGTTTGTCGTTGAACGTATACAATATGACTTAAAAATTATAATGTAGGACAAAGTTTAGAAATGTAACTATGCAACTCTTATTTATATGTACCATTACTTTTATACATTTACAAATATAAACATTTACCATTATAATATGCCAAACTTCTTTTAACGGTTGATGATTAATAAACCTCAACTCAATTTATTGGGGAGCAATTACACTAAAATCAGCTAATTCATTTTAATTTTTGTTCTCCAACATATATTCAGTCGTGAGGTTTTCTGATTAAGACAAAAGTACGTAGTATATATTATTTATCACAACGTAGTTTTTGTGAAGATATTTTTTGGTTTAATATTATCCATGCAGGGAATTATTTTTTTCATTGGAAAAAAGTGGACATCATATATATGGAAACAGTTTATTTTCTACCCTTTCGTGCTTGTAATTGACTATCTATTAATGTCTTTTTACTGGACAATCAACTTCTCGTCATTGGGTTTTTTTTAGAAAAAAGAGTGCTTGTGAGAGCCTTTTCATGAATAGTTTATTTTTTTTTTTCTTACATAAGAACTTTCTCAAACATAGAAACTTTATTTTCTTTATCTATATATCTATTGATATATAATGAGGATTAACATAATTCACTTTTAGAAACTCTTTCACGCCATTAACATTAAATACACCATATTTATAGTAATTTTTTATCAAAAAAATATCTAACATTAATTATACGAAGAACTTCCTTAATAATCTTATGGAAACAAACAATTTATTCCCTTAAATATCGCATGCTAAAATTTATATCTAATTTCTTTTCGATTCTTCCAATTCTTCCAAATAAAATGGGTTATGCATGAAATCAACCAATTTACCAACTATTTTTATAATTTTGCCTTAATAAGATTAAGTCCGGTTGAACATGGTATAATATAATTTAATTTATTAATTTAATATAATTTTGCCAAATGATATAATACTGGTTGTACATAGTATAATATAAATTAATAATTTAATAATTTTTTCAAATAATATAATATATATTATAAATTTAACAATATATTAATATAGTTCTTTCAAATAAAACCGGTTGTACATGGTATCAATACTATATCTTTATGTATAAAATAATATTAAATTATTTTTAGTAATCTTTTCCCGTCGTGCATGGATTATTACCTAATTTTAGTATTTCTTGACAATTCGGGATAGCATATCTCGGCGCATTAATTGTCAACTGATGTGGAATAACTGATTTAATAGTTGATGGATTCAATTCCCGTTTTTATGGAATCAAATATCGGGTGTATACACGTTTCAAATAATTTAATAATAACATAATAATAGGCTTAATGATTTATGGTTTGTATATATCATCTATTCATCAATTGAATTTTTTTTCTACATTATCGGTTTGAAAAGGAAAACGAATTTTATATACCTTATCGATTTTTATAATCTATTAATATATAATAAGGATTAACATAATTCACTTTTAAAAACACTTTTCCGCCAATTTCACTTATTGCCTAAACATAGTAAATTAACAAAATCGCTATTTATTAGCATATCTGTTTTTCTCGATTTTTTTTAGGAATACAATAAAAAAATATGGAATCAAAATCCAAATACATATCCTCTTTTTGTGGCTGGATATGTATCTCCTCTTTTGAAGGTCGCATATCCTGCGTTTATTAAGAAGTCTGCCAAAAAAATGATTAAGCTAAATTGGTTAGCAGATTCGTTGATTACATTTCAAATGAGATTAACCTTTTATTTTGGTTAAATTTTTTAAATGATTTTCGAGAAGTAGATTGAATTTTTAATTAATTGCTTTGGAAAAAATCTGATACCTGATCCTTTTTTTATGTCATAGCGATTTTTGTTGTCAAATTTTGATTTACATGGTGTGCTATTCATATTTATCATTTGGAAAACTGCTCGCTATTCATATTATGATTTGAAAAACTAAATATATTATATAATGAAACAAAATAATTTCAAAATTCACATTTCCGATCGATGTTAAAAATGAAACTGTTAAAATAAAATAGATAATCACGAATCTATATTATCACAAGTCAATACATAATTAAATATAATTTCATATTTATAAATTATAATTAATATATATTTTATGGGTAGAAAATTACATGTGTAAATGGTGCTACGGTAAAATATTCATATTTATTTACACATAAAATAATCTTTATATTTATTTGAGAAACGTTTAAGAAAAAAAATAGTTCACACGTATATATTTATAATCTTTACAAATATAATCTTTACTTCACGAGTACGTGAAATATTTATTTATAAATATTTACATGTATATTTACAAATATTACACAATAATTTACAAAATTATAAAATTTACATGGTAGATATAAATATTGTTAGCACAAATAATTAATCGTGAAAGTCCTACTCTCATTAAATCGCCAGAGTTATATAATTATATATTACAATTTTATTTCGTGGTGTTAACAATCCTAAAATCAACAAATAATTAGAGAAATGAGGTGTCTATGCAATTAGCAATTACTATAAATATCGATCTACAGTTGTCAAGTGCAAAATAATTTGTATTGAAAAACAATAAGAATTTTAACAATGTATGACTTTTTCATGATGAATATTTTCTGATTACCTGACAAATGCCCTACGATATTATAACTTATTGATTAATATTAGCCTTTAGTTATAAAATTTTACCAAAACAAATACAGTCCGTGTATCGCTCGGGGTTACGTGTTAGTATATATTAAAAGCTAACTTATTTACCAAAAATAGTAGCAAGAAAAGTCAACACACCTTTAATGC